CATGGAAGCAGCATAGTCTTGTCAAGATCTGCTTTCATCGTCCCAGTAATGTTGACTATCTGAAGTTTTATCATTAGCAGTGCTGCAGCATCTCCCTAGAGGCTATAGATACCTATAGTCCTTTTAGTTCAAGAATGTTTGAATGGAGAGTGCTCTGAGCAACACAGATTAACAACCTTTCTCTTTTTAATGAAATACTGTAGGGCCTTATGATGAAAGAAAAGGCAATATTTTTGTCAGAATTATTCTGCCTATGCCCAAATTTGAGTTGTTGTTGTGGTTTTGTTTTTTTTTTTTTTAAGAAAACTGTGGAAAAAGCCAGCCTCTAGCATCCATCACCACATGTTAATGTATGTGTATAAATGTATAATTAAAATGTATAATTTAAACAAGTCTGGCACTTCCTTTGATCATGTATTTCCTCATGGCTACGCTTATCTTCTGGAAAAACATCTAAATTATCTTCTTGTTCTCTGTACTTCTGCTTTAACTCACCAGGAATATTGCTTATCACACTTTCCATTATTACCTTCTCCTCTTCTTGTTCTGACATTTTTTTCTCTCCATCCATTGTCTCTTCCTGATAATATACTTAAACATTTAGACATTTTTCTGTTTGTGACATGAACCTATTAATACCTTTACCACAACCTAAATGTGGTGGCTGTCCTTATAATTAAATTTCCAATTTCTACCCAGCACAGATCTTGCCTTCATATTTGAATGAGATAACCAGGTGAGCCCTGAATCTGGCATCAGATGCAATCCTTAATGCCAAACTTGAATCTTGTATCTAGTGCCAGCGTTATCCCCTAAAATACTTAGGTGATTCCTATGAGCAATGTTTCATTAAAATGGACTTGAAACTAGTTTAAAATCTTCTTCCAGCCCCAGGAATAAACTAAATTCCCCAATCAATATTGCCTGTCTCATCTGTCCAAAATCTAGTGAGACTAGATACTAAAACAAAACCTCACATAACCCAGTCAATTATGTGCAGCTAATGGGCCATATCCACAATGGTCCTTGTCCTGCCCTGATGACTTCTTTCAGACTTGCAAGTAATTTGGGTTAACAAGGCTAAAGCAACGTAAAACACAACCCTAAATGTAAGCCTGTCTAAGCGTAAGACGTGCCCAGTAGTAACATTAGGAACTACTCTGAGACTCTCATCGTAGGAGCTGCCCTCTTTTTTCCATACTGTCCCCAAGACTTAACATTGATCCCAGTTCACACCACTACTGATCTAGTCCTAGCCTTTTATTTGGATTCTTACCTGAAGCGAATGATTACGTAGTGATTTTTACTAATTTTAGGAATGAGTATAGATCCTTAAATGTCTTATATCCATAATTAGTTCAGATTTATCAGTTTATGTTGGCCTAGCTATGACTTTAAATTCCCCAGTGCCAGCCTCAGGCATCTAATTGACGATGGGGTCTAGAACCTCAAATTATTCTCACTCTGAAAGTTCCTTCTAAGTGTGACTCCAGTCTTGTCTTCTTCTATCTCTAAATGAAAACGATAGATCAATTTTTTATCTTCTCCTAAGACTACACCTTGAGGGAATCATAACTAGATCAGATAGTCTGGTAATAAGTTTCACAAAAGCTCAATAGTCCCCACTAAATGCAGAAGCAACCCACTTTCACCAGTTGTGGAAGTCACAAGACTTTTTTTCTTGCTCCCTGGCAGATCAGAGTAAGAACATCGGTTTTCAAAAACTCTCTCATTTATTTGATTTACTAGCTCTAATCCCAATTATTTTCTATTTCTGCTATTATAAATAGCAAATTAATTTTCCTCCTTAGGTCGTTGCCACTGCTTTTTTTTTTCTCTTTCTTTCCCTCTTTGTTCCCTTTACCCTCTCCTCTCCCTTCCCCTTTTTGGGAAACAGATCTAGAGATAACTATGACACAGTGTGATGCACAAGTCCATTGTGGAGCATAAATTACGAACCAGTTGTGCCAAGCCAGCGGCTCAGTGCAAGTTCTTTCCAGTTTAGTCCTCTGAAAGTATAAATAATTTCACTGTGCATTCTCTACGTATTTGAAGGTAAATGCAACATTTGAGTCTAGAGCAAAATTTCCATGGTCCTGTCTTCTGTGAACAAGAACTGCACTTCTCTTCCAGCACAAAACATGTAAATTTCCCCACTGCACTGCTAGGCACAGAGTCATGTCACACAAGTCAGTATGTTCTTCTCTAATATTGCTTCTTCTCGCTGGATCAAATTTGTATTAGAAACAGTTTTACATTAGAAGTGACAGCAGATTTGACTTGTTCATACCATCTGTTTCACCTCTGTTAGCACCAGTTCAAATTCACTGATATTGATAAATAGACCAGAAAGATTTCATTTTTCCCTTCTCACAGAAAAACAAAACAAATACACACACACACAAAATCTACTTTTGAGTCATGCACATTTGATGTGGATTGTACTTGATATCTACTATTTTCTGTCTCACATTTTCTGGCACATATATATTATAAACAACATATTGATGCCTACATAAAATTGTAACTACATACCAAGAACACCAAGTCGCCACTCACAGAATCATAGAATATTCTTAGATGCAAGGGACCCATAAGGATTATTGAGTCCAACTCCTGGCTCCACTCCTTTCTCAACATTATTTACCATGATGCTGCTAAACAACCAAAAGTAAGAATCTTCCCATGAGTTAGCCCCAAGAACTGAGTGATTTAGTTTCCCACGGATAAAACTTCTTGAATTCATCAAACTACGTATTTGACAGGTCATAAAGTCATAACATGACAATTTCTCATTTGATCTTGCTAGATACAACTGTCACTTTTTTTTTTCTTTGTTATGCAATACTTTGAGAGATTTCTCTTTGAATATTGGGGTGGCTTGATTTTTTTTACTGCTCTTTTCTTCTTCCTGCTGTTGATAATGAACTGTGATTTAAAATAGTGAGATACTTCATGCTACTCTGAGTTTTGCAGTCATCATGATAATCTGCACATTTAATGGTAGACTATTCTTTCTTATCTCAGATGGAGTACAGATAAATTAGTTTATGTCCCCCAAGACAAAAAAATAAAAAAAAATAAAAAGAACGTGAAATGGTGGACATAAAAAAAATGACTGGAAATGATGCATATAAATTATGTACGAGTCACTATGTACCATCAACTGTGCTTTTTATGTAGGACTTGATGGACTAAGACTCTTGGCTAGTGGCTGTCTACTTCCTCTTAATTATACATATTTACTCATATAAATTCAATCATCTAGAAGTTTCCAGTTTAAAGTATAAGCTGTGCCATTTGTCTGTGAAGGGAGCCAAGCATTTCAGGAAAGTGGCTTTCCTGGCTCTCTTCCCTTTCTACTACCCTTCCCCATCGAGGATTACTTTACACTGACTACAGATGGAATTTGTGTTGACCGGACGAGAATCCTGACTTTTAGAACATTAATATTTGGAGAAAATATATCAAGTTCTAAATAATTATGAAGAAATAAGAATTTTTTTTCAGTAGTTCTTTCACTTGCTGTAAAGCCTTGCTGAACAACATATCATTGGGAATTTTTGTTGAAATTAAAACATTCCCATATCAGTACAGCATTTCAGTTTCAACATAAGACCTCACTGTGAATAAGGAAGAAATTGAGTGGGAATTTTTATCTTAATTACTGAACTATGATACCTCAAATCTGCATAAAATATTTCGTATCAGGAATTATTCATGACTTATTCCTGTCAACGCTTCTTTTTTATTTCTGGCTGTTTTTTTCTGTTTGTATTTGTTTTGTTTTGTTTTGTTTTTCCTGCGGTCAGCATTTAATTACAAAAAACACTAAAGGAAAATAGACATGAAATAGCCTCAAACAATTAGAAAGTCTGGACTTAAATTCAAATCTGAATCTGATGTTGAGTCCACATGATTATAAAATTTTACCTGCTATTTCATGAACACATACTAAGAAGCTTGTTTTATAAGTGTATTCTTTTCTTTATCCTCTTTAATAACATTAATATTCTTCACCTAACTTCCTCAGAAAAATACGTAAATGCATGTTTGTGTACAGAATATCATGGCACTTGTAAAATAGTTTTTTATTAAAACAGCTGATCTGTAGAGTTGCAACATATTTGATCATCTTTACTACCCTTGAGCTGAACATACACAGCTTTCCTGAACTCATGAAATATGATGGACACATTTTTGTGAATTTCCACCAATAGAAATCTGGGGCTCAAACTACAAGTAATATTGAAAAATCTCATGACATTTTGTGCTGTAGTTTCACTTGTTTCAGTTATCCACTTACAGTAACGGGCTACTGACATTGGCAAGCTAATGATATTTGCATGTTTTGTTTGTTTTAAGAGAAAGCAGTTTACTTTAAAGGAAAAAAATCCCACAATATGTTTTATTTATTTCCTGAGAACTTCCGCTTACACAGGTAGACACTAGACACTTGAAATTAATTTTCCAGAGCACAACAGTAAAAAAGTAAGAATTTGACTTAGTTTCATTTAAAACAGTAAAAACTGACCTTGTAAACATTTCCATAGGAGGTAGGATACAATTTGACAATTGTCAAATAAGAGAAAGTAAACAGTTACTCTGTTGTCCTAATAAATAGTGAGCAACACAGGCATTAAATAAACATTTTAATATAAAAGATATGTGAAAGACTAAAATATCGTTTTTAATAAATTAGGAAGAGATTCAATCATTTATTTACAAGTTAGTCTTGCTGTCAAGAATCACTAGCTCTTTATGTTCATCCTGAACTTCTGACTGAAAAGCTGTAATGAGAACAATCCTGAGTGATTCACAAGTAGGAAAAAAATGGTGAATACATCTGCTTTGCTGCATGGAGGAGTGCTAAAATCTAAAATGGTTCATTTTTTATCTATATGTAATACTTCCGTAATCCACCAACTACAAGAATTGTCATCATAGCCTTAACGTCTGAAATGGAAAAGTAAGCTTAAGACAGTGAAACGTCTCTCCCGCTTCAGGTTCCTCCGGCAGCTGTCCCCATGAAGACTGTGTTAATTGGTGGTAAAGATGATACCATGTCTCTATTTGGTGGTTGATGGGACTCCAGATTTTCTTGAGGAGTGAAGTGACCAGATGTTCCATACATACACTGCGAAGATGTGGTTTGCATGTTTGAAGCTGTGGAAAAAAAAAACAGTTAACATAATTGCAAGTTTTCTATCTACTGCATTTAACAAAAATAAACAAACAAACAAACAAGCAAGAAACCCAACAACAACCAACATCAAAAACACAATATAATTTCATCTGATGGAAATCCTGGTCTACCAGGTGCACCATGTGAAGAACTGAAATTTCAACAGTTCTATTCTTCACTGAATTTACTTCTACAACTTTTCTTTAGTGGCTCTTCACAGTTTCTGATAATAGCATGAGGGAACAAGCCAAAACTAATGCATCAGTGAACTCTGCTAAAAATGCATCTATGGGCCTGTGTATGAGCCATCTTTCATGAAAACTGCAAAGCTGTTTGCATTTGCTGTAATCATCTTTTCATACCTTGCACCATTCATGTCCATAGTCATTGATGGGACCAGTACCATCACCTAGCACACAACACAGCATACAAAAGAAAGTTGGTGGACACAATCCCCCTCTGGTGATTCTGGATTCCTCCCCCTGCTCTTTAGCATCCTTAAAAAAAACTGACTATTAAATCCTTGCAAAGCCTTAAAGAGGCAAGTAATGACTGGCCTTCTGCATATGCTTAACAAGTAGTAGGAAGAGGTAACCTTGTGGACAAATGAACAGACTGTGCCTTAATTTACCTCTTCTGTGTGATACTTCAGAGTCTTTCAGGAATGCAAAGCCAAACTCAGATATCTTTTGTTTAATGTACGTATCAAAAATTGGAGATTAGGTAATTTCACCTGTAACTCACTGTCAGTAGGAAATCTGTCTAATTCACAGAGTTATTGGAGAACAGGGAGGGAAGAGACTATAATACAGGAAGTGTACATTTAGACATTACTGAGCCAGGATTCATTTGATCTGCTTGACAGTGAGGATCCTGAAGAGCCCTTAGAGGAGCCCAGTTCATTATTAGGTCACTTAATAGTTAAAAAGTGTTTCCTAACACGTAATTTTCTGCAATTCAGGCCATCCATTCCAATCTTGTGGACAATGAATCACAGTTCTCTTAAAAGGAACAAAGAGTTATTCAACTCACTCTCCTGAAAATTTAAGGAAACGTCACAGGATACATCCCATGCACTTAGCTATTTTATTTGATACTGCATCTTAGATGCTATATATATATATGAGTTACAATTTAACTCTCAGTTCTTGTGAAGATGCTAAAAAGTTCATTGCTCCTGAGTCTTGGATATACTTACGCATAGCAGTTCGACAGACAATTGAAGGTGAGGACTCTGTGTAGTATGCGCCTGTTTGCTTTCTTCCGCTATCATCCAAGATGTTCAGTGGATCATGTGTATCATTGTATGATGGCAATGGTCGAATGCTACTTACACTGCTGATTACAGAAACATGTTGATCCACCATTGATCCAAGTCTGTGAGATTCTGGATAATTGATATTGTTTCCATAATATCCTATTGACAGGAGATTGGAAAAAAGAAAGTAGAGTGAAATCATTATTGAAGAGAAACAGCAGTGTAGGAGCCTGTGGTGAGTTGGAGCACAAGGTAATCGTTATTGGCTGAGTTTCTTGAGAATAAGGTTATTTAGTACATACATGGCCTAGTCACCTTAATATTGCATGCAGTGATGGACCCAAAAGGGGGACAGACAACTGCAGAGCAAAATAAATCCTAGTTCAGTCATGCTTTCGTTACAGAATTGCATCTCTATTGTATCACATTCTAAGTTCAGAATTAAACAGTGCCCTGCAACCAGTGGTCAGAACAGATGCCATGTGGACTCATATCAGTCATGTGGACTTGTGGAAGGCAATTTAGCCTCCCTTTTGAAACTGACAAACAAGAAAAATACACACAGAAAAAAATATTTCATGGTAATACATACTTTTCATATACAAACTCACATACAAGCAATATTTCCATTGTGTTTTTTCCTCCAGAAGAGAGTGGTGTTTTTTTCTGACTACATCTTTGAAGCAGACTGTAGCAAAAACTTTACTCTTGAATTCTGGGGAACAGTTTCATAGTAAATGTTTTGAGAGATTTTCAAGAGATTGACACATGGCAAAGTCATCCTAGTTTCTCTTGTTTTGTGCAAGACATGGCAATGGTGATAGAGGAAGACTGGCAGAGGTGTAGCAGAGGCATTTGAGGTCAACTGAGGATTCCCCACAGGAAAATAAATCCTGAAGTAGCTTGTTAAGCTGCTTTACTATCTATGCATGTCATCAGAGAAGTAAAAAACATGAAGGTATAATTAAGAGCTGAAATATCTTCCATAGAAAAAAAAGGCAGATAGAAAGCATTTCGCTCCAGCAAGGAAAGAGAAACAAAAGGGAAAAATAAAATATTCTTAGTATGTTTTATACCGTTGGAAGCATTAGGGGGATATGTTGCTCCTGGACAAGTAGGTGCTGAGTTGCTCAAGAAATTGAAGCTTCCTGTATTCAGAAACTGCATATTGTGTGCATCCTGAGTCATGGATGAGGGACAATAGCTGGAAGGTGACCTGGCACTGTATGGAGTTACAGCACAACTGTTGTTGAAGTAGTCCCTGGAGAACTGCTGTTCACTCAAAGCATTGAATCGGCTGTGCTCCGCTCTGTGGTGGTAAACTCCTGAAGTGGAATGGGCCTGAGTTCTGAACATAGCCTGGTAACCGGGATTGTTTCCATAGTAGTTCTGATTGGTTTGTGACAAAGTCTGATAAAGGGGTTCTGAGTAGGAAGAGCACTGTGAATGTGTGGATAAGACAGGGCCTACACTCGGAGGTCTCACAGCCATTGGCCCCTGGTTGATCACACTTCCTCGGCTGACCAGGGCTGGTGAAATGGGTGGAGTCATCAAGTTACCAGTGCTTTGAGGCAGCTCCATCTGACCTGCAATAAATAAGCATTAGCCGTCACTAGTGTTCATACCGCAGTTCTTATGAATGCAGTGGATTTGTTAAGACACTAACCCTCTGGTGAAGTGCATGTTACCATCTGAAACTTTTACAAAGTGTATGGTTTGGCTCCTGCCTACGCAATGTAGGTTCTTTAATCCACAGCTTTGAGTTAGAAAGCTTCTGAATTCCATTGTCCAGATTGGAGACTGGCACATTCAGTGTGAAATCCCAGCATTTAAAAGTCTTGTATGCTCAGGATGTTTGTTCATGCCTCGCAAGAATCTCATCAAGCCATGACGTGTGATATTTTTATCATTGTATCACGAGGATGTATTACTGGCAGGTCTCTAAAATTGCCCCCTTCCATGAATTGGCACAGATGGTGAGCTTGCGGGATGTTACTACTAGAGGTTCCCATAAATACATATGGTCATTTTTCCTTTTACAGTAATGTGCTATTGTGAACTGAAAGACTAACAAGCAAACAAGGGAAGGAAGGACTAAGAGAACTGCTACATACCTGTCAGCTGCATATTCTCACCATCTCCTGTGGCAAAGAGATTTAGACCTGAAGGCATACTGCTAGGCTGACTAGCTGACAAGGACACGTAGGTTTGCTCCGCTAGACACTCATTTTTGACTGAAGAGTCATTGGGCAGAGAAGCAGTTTTGTTACGATTTGCTAAGAAGCAAGAGCTTGGTGATGCAGTAAAGGTGGCTTTGCTTGCATCTGGAATAATAAGTGGAAAACTCTTGGTGGCTGTTATGTGTGATCATTGCACATAAATTCAACACTAATATTGCAAATGAGATGTCTGATTTGTTCATAAACTCGTTTGCTTATTTTAAAACACAGTGAAGCCTCCATTTCTTGTATGCAGATGAAAATAAATATTACGCCAGCCTTAATCTTCCCAGATCAGAATGCATATTGTCTAAATCACATCCCCTCACTACAGATCTATGTAATACATGTCAATTGTATTAACAGCTCCTTACTGAAATCATCACAGTGTGAATATAAATCAGATTTATTCTCTTGAAGTAAATGTCAGCAATGCAGTCAAGTAAATTGCACTGAAGCTCATGATACTACATCTTAAAGATTTAACAATGAGAGTTTTAGAATGCTTGAAGTGTATCTATTTTCATACGATATCTGGAACAAAAGCATTTTTTTATCATCAGTAGTTTTCAGTTTTCTGCGTTCTATTGATAAATTCAGTGGAAATTTTGTTATTTTTCTGGAAATCATGGCTTTATGCTACAATTTAAAGGACTTCACCAAAATGTCTCAGGAAAAGGCAACTGCTACATAGGGCAAGGCTTTTCCTGAAGGATAAAGAGAAAAGGCGCAGCCATCTGCTGTGAGACAAATTCTATATAAGCTTGTTGCAGCACAGTGCAGATTAAACAGAGTAACAATAAGCAAAGACTTCAGTACTGATCACAGATGCTAATGTTAATCAACATAAATTCAGCAGAATCCAATGGAATTTCACTACATTTTGGGGGAGTAACTTGGACCACAATTTAATCCATGTCTTAGGGATCAAATGCCATTTCTTAATATTCTTTCATTTCATACCAAAAGACCTTGAGGATGTGTCCTCCAACTGCCTAACTCTGAATCTCAGTAGCTACAAAATATTAAGGATATTATTTTAAGCTCTTCTGTTTCTCTTCCACAGCAGTATTTCGGTCAGTTGCTAAATATGCCTCCAACCTTGTGTTCCAAACTTCAAGGGACATTCATGATTTGTTAACATTGAATACATTCCTAGTTTAATGTGTAATTATGTATTTCAGATTTGGCTGAAAAATTGGGTTGGGAATTTCTGCTCTTTGCTAGATGTACTTCTTTTCACACCAGTTTGTGTCCCTTCAGCTGCAACTACAGGAGTGTTAGTTGCACCCATGATAATTTCAGTGATCCTGTGTAGTAATATTTCCCTCCCAAAATTTATTCAACAATATCAACTGTGGTTGATGGTGGAAATGAAATGGTGAATTAATGGTTACAACCATTTCAGGTGGTTTTAACAATGTGACCTAAAACTACAAATTCATAAAGAAAGAGCATAAGTCTACTTTTGTTTAAACAAATATGCAATTTTCTAAAAATGCAGGAATACATTCAAAGGAGCCAAGCTCTAGATACCTAAATTCTTCATGTATTTGTCCAGTAGATTCTGGAGTTCTTGTTCTTTGTCATTGTTGAACTGCGTCTCCATGGCAAGCAGGATGTACTCATCTAGCAGCATGCGGATCAAATGAAAAGAACCTTTAAGGAGGAGAAAGAGGGAGAGTAGCCAAGTTATCTTTGTGACCATCTCTCAACACTCTACAAGAAGCTGGTGAAACAAACAAATAATTGTGGACTTTAAATGACCTGGCAAGACCAACACTGGATAGTGCCTAACTTCTAGCTCTAATCTCTCTTTGCACTGGCCCACCTAGCTCAATTGTTTACTGTCCTGTAGGCTATTTGACCACTAATTACATCAAAGAAAAATACTGATGAAAGTGAGACATGCTTTATACTTGAAGAGGGCATACAGTGGAGCTAGATAAGGCTGAAGTCTGCTAGAATGCCTCTGCTCTATTTCTGTTTGCTTTGTGCTAAGTAACCAGACAATAACTGGTGAAGTCTTCAACCTTATTTCAAGGATGTATCACATTAAAAATGTGTCTGTCCTTATAGTCATTTAAAATAGCTGCTGAATTTTAGATAATGAAGTACCTACAACTATAGAAATAGCCTGAGAAATGATACACTGTATTTAAAGTTAATTTCATTTGCTCTAGCATTTTCTATATTATAAAATACTATTTCTGAGAGTCCTCAAAAATATAAACATTTCTAAAGACAGACAAGTGAAACTTAATTTTTAAAAACCACAAAATACTGATGAATGCACCCTCATTTCAGAACTGAAAAACAAAACTGACCTGTCAAATTCTTTTTGCTCTTACAAAAACAAACAAATAAACAACAACAAAACGTATCTGCAGTAACAGTAGTCTTTTTTTGGTCCATATATAAAACAAATAATTAGAATTTTCTGTCTCCTATTGAGATATGTAGTTATGCTCCAGTGTCAGATTAAAGCAAACAGTTTTTAGTTTGCAAATGGCAAGGCAATATCAAACAGCAGTTTTAATAAAAACTATCTTGAAAAATGAATATGAGACATAGATCACCAATAAATTACTACTATCATTTACTGTGAAATGTTAGTTTGAAAAGCACATTACAAAGTATTTGTGCCTTTGATCAAAAAATCTTTGGGCTAGGACAGGCTTCTCTGCTGAGAAAGTAGCATAAGGTGGCTAAATGTTGGCACATATGTACAAAATGTAAGTGTTTTTACAAAGTCCGGGTACCAAAACTTGAGGCGTTGTTCAGAGTGAGGTTATGCATCACTCGAGCACCAAAAAAGCTCCATTTGAGAAGAAAGTCTTGAGCTCTCTTCTTTAATGACCTCCCATTTTGCTTGCTTGTCTGAAAGACAGAAGTAGCAGAATACTGTAGTTATACTAACTTGCTTTCTACACACAGGAAAGGAGAAAGGAGAACTGAATATGCAGGCTCATGTGGCAGAGGGAACCAAGCTGCCTGATTTAAACTGCCTTCATAAAGTCTGTCCTAAAGTGACAAACAGCAGCATTCACTCTTTTCAGTGCAACCAGAGTGGAGATCTGACCACATTCAATGAAGTAAACTGCTTACTGCTTGGACTCTGCTGTAGCCTAAAGGAATGTAAAAAAAAGCCCTCATGTTCTAATACTGAAGATGGGAAATAGTTCTGTATGTGTATAGTTGTAAAGGACAAGAAGAAAAACATATCCTCTGGTGCCATGTTATTCCATACAAAAGCTAATGGAAATTAGTCTCTTTACTTCAGTGTAATCTTTATAATACCAGCTAGACTTTCCCTTATAAAATGATATGCCTATTGTAACAGTGGGGCTTTTAATGCTGCTCACTTCATACTCTGATTTGCTCATGTGGTAAAAATATGCACTGTTGCTTTCTCAAATAGCAAGTAAAAGGGAAGTGTTGTGCGAGTTTGAGAGTAACCATACTTTAGCATTAACAGAAGACAACAGTGGAGGGATTACATGCTCTGTAAGTGCTCAGCTCCTACCCAGTGGATTTAGAATGATATCAGGACTTGCTGGTATTTCCTACTCCTAATTACAGGAGAACAATGCTAGGAAACATACCTTTTAAATTTAATAAAATAGTATGACATAGAAGACAATGAACAGGAGGGTGCTTCATTGTTTTTACCTGGCTTGTTAACTGAGAATTGTGTTTTGAAGTTGGAGAGTCAATTTTAGACTGCAATCAATCAGTTCTAAAATAAATTGTGATTGCTCAGCCTCAGTAAGAGTTTTGTGCCTATACAAGTGCTTCTGAGAGTTTGGTTAGGCTCTACTGCCCTGACTCACCCAAAGCACCTCACTGTGCTGCTCAGAGCTTATAGTAAATGTTTGTAAATTCACAGAAAATATTAATGTACCCAGTGAAATTTGGGAAAACAAGTAAAGAAAGGGAAAGTAACAAGTCAACTTCTGTGAATTGGCAGAGGCACTCTTCTGCAAGTCAAAGCTAACTGCACTCCTCCTGCACCCATTCATGTCAAGGTGGTCCCTAAAGTGGTAAATAAACTATCATAGCATTACCAGACAGGATAGGACCTGATGAAAACACAGTCTTCAGAGCTATTAGCAAGCATTACCACATGCTACATTTCTTTCTGATGGTTTACATTAATTCACAAATTGGGTTAATATATATTCCTTGAGCTACAGCTGAAAACTCAATTACTTTGTTCTGAACTGTAAATAGAATCATAGGATTGCTCAGGTTGGAAAAAACCTTAAAGATCATCATGTTCAACTGCAACCTGGCCATATTTTCCTAACTCTAACAACCCTCCACTAAATCATGTCCCTGAGAAAGTATGATCATTTGTAATTATACATGTATAAAACATTTGTGATTATGAAGTATCTCGTAAAACTGGTAAAAAAAATCCCATTAAAAGTCTCAACTACCAAGTTAAGCACCTTGTGAAGCTATAACATGGCATCTTCAATTCTGGTCTATAGAAAGCCTTCCACAAGTTATCTACTTCTGAATCCACCTATTGCACTTAACCTATATTACATGCAGTAACATCTCAGTAATATGAAAGAAAAATCTGCTTCTCTAAGGAACAACTTTGGCTCACCTTACTTAGTTTTTCACAGATGTAAAAATATTCAACAGCATTCAACATGATTAACTAGAACTAATTAAGTAGTCTTGACTCAGGTGGAATATCTAAAAGGTACCTTGATAACCCTTTGCTCAACCACAGTATCCAGCCATTCAATAAATGATTCCACAGTGGCATTCTTCTTTAGAAGGTCCTTCAGTTCTTGGAATACAGTAATAGAGTCATCTACCATGTGAAAAAGGAGAATATATCATTCCATGTTCTTCTGAACATGCGAAAAAGCCACTTATCAGCTGTATGACAAAATTGTAGCATCGAAAGGAAAGGCATAGAATTACAGTGGTGAGGAAATGAACTGCTCTTCAGTGAAGTAAGCAGACATACATCTATTATGCGTATGTATTTTACTTATTTTAGCATTACAATGATAACATATAGTTTTACAAGAAAATAAAAGCAAAAAAAAAAAAATAAATTGGATGTTTTAAATTCATTTTAATGCTCATCCTTGAAAACCTACCTATTACTAAGTTTAGTAGAACAGCTTTATCTGTAATGTGACAGACTTCTATAATGTCTTTGGTTTCCTTTACATTTTACAAGTTAACTTCTTTATTTCCCATTCTTGAGAAAGTGCCTGAATAGGATTATGATTCATTACGTAAGAGAACAAACTTTTCTGATCAAAATAACAATACATAGAAGATAACACCTTGCTATTATTCTTTCAGTTCTCCAAACTAGTCACCATACTTCTCATGGCAAGAATTATCTTTTAAACAATATCTCAATATCAATATCTTTTTCAGAAATAAGTGTATATAAAATTAACTGCAAAAAAATTATCATCCTCTGCACTTGTACTTCATTCAATTTTTCTTTATTAAAATAGCTGTTACGCTTCATAGAAAGTTACGTTTTTTGTTTTTTTTTTACAGATCAGCTTTTGGTCAAAAATAAAAACAAAAACAAAGAATGTAATCTAGCCTAAATATTCATGAAATTAAACTATAATTACATGTGATTTGGGGGACATTTTTCAAGAATCCATGCTAATACTCCCACATGATAAGATAGAACTTCAAAAGGGATTTTATTACAAATAGCAACTGACATGGAAATGATTTTTTCAACAACCATTTAAAATCATCTATCTAGGATGATTTCCCAGCTCAAGCTTATACTTTTGTAGGACATGCTAGGGCAACAAATTGGTTTTCTTGATCTAAAGTTAATGATGAGCTAGATCAGAGAATGCAGTGTCTTTGTGTCTCTTCTCTGACAATCTCTATGTAGTACGACATGGAATAAAGAGTGCATTTATTTTAACATTACAAATATATCACCATGGACTTACATTCATTGTAGACCTCTCCATCAGGATCTGTACTCCCTGAGACTGCAAGGAGTGCCTGAGAGCCAATACTATTCAAATCAACTTTTTCAATGTCTGACACCATGGAATTCACCACATGCTGATCAAAAAGTGCTGGCCGAGCAATCTGTAAGAGAAATCAAGACAAAATTCTGAGAAGCTTCTCCTCAGAAAAGAATCAGTAGCTGTTTTTTCTTAGCTGTGTTTACTGGAGGTCAGATGAAATAATATTCTCTTTCCATTAGACTTCTAATATTTTTGTTATGTACCTTCCTTTCCTGATAATTTTCACATCACCCACATGCTACTTTTAAGATTTATACAACAGAAGTCTAAATCAAGAAGAATATATATAGCCATTATAATATATAGCTATTCAATCTACAGTTATACCTGAGGGTTAGTCCCTCAAAAGATTCCTCCATTAGCACCTAAGCTCTGAAAAAGGTACTGTATCCTTCAACAATCTACTAAATCTTCATATGGAGGTGCCTCCTAATTGCAAATATCTGCATCCTACCAACTCAGCCTTGGAACCTTCAGCTGCCTATCACATATTCCTTGCAGTTAAAATTTAGAAGGGATAAACTCAATAAAGGACACTGTGGACAAGACAGTGAACCTTTGCAAGGCAAGAATGTACTAAAGAAAATTCTCATATATTACACTTTATCATATGATTGCCAAATATTCCCACGATAGTAGTTCACCATAACCATGGTCTTTTCTCTCTTTTTTACTACAAAATTTTGAAGATCTATTTATGGCCTCTTCGTTCTCATTCACTGAAAACTACAAGGCATAAGTCTTCCATGGCTGAAGCTGAACATTTAAAATACAAAAAATTAACATCTGCTAGCCAGAAAGATAAACAGAATATAATTGTCAATCTTTTATGTACAAATCTTATTCTGTTTACCTGTGCAAGGTGTAAGAACGATGTCTGTCTTTTCAGGGAGGAAACAAATCTTCGAGCAATAGGCAGTTTCTTATCCATCAGGATTTCTGGTAGATTTTCCAAAGAGGAAACAACCCACTGTTCCCAGTTTTTTGCAAAATTTCTTATATCTGCCAGTAAACTACAGTAAAAAATGTATTTTAGAGAAATACCAATAAAAGATTTATTGCATTTGTTTAAAAATAATTCACAGAATCCTGGACAGATCTGTGAATTACTCTTCAGGTATCCCTGAAAAGAAACAGGAAATGACTGATCATCAGAAGGCCAAAACTGACCATGTATTGATCTGTATCCCCTCTGAGAAAAAAACATAAGCTATCTGCCAGTTGAAATGGATTGAAAACAATTAGCCTTAAGAATAAACCATAACAAATCCAAGAACCATTACAGGTGTCTGAAACTCAAGATCTTAGACAGACATAAAACCCCAAATATGACAGCCTCCAGGGGAAAAGTGAGAAGATTCAGAGGTAACTTATAATAATCCTCTTCTAACTGTCTTGTTGACAAAAAAAAAATGCTTAGATACCATGAAGATGTGTATGATACAAACCTGAAAAGTATTCTGAAAAAAAAGAGATAACAATTATTTTTCCTCATACAACAAAGGCATATTTATTTCTTTTTTGGTCTTCCAAGGCTTTAGTCTAGAAGAAATTTATTTCAAGATATTCAACAAGCCAGAAAACAGAACATAAAAATACTTTCTAATATTTTAAGGCTCTTCTATAGCTGTTCCCACAGCTGATATTATTTTGCCATACTTACTTTACTTTTCTAAAAATGAGCTTAAATATTGTGAGAAAAAATCTCTAGATTACAGAATTTCTGCTATTTGTTCTCCATTTTATTGGAATATGACTATCAATTAGAATGTATCATTATTATACCTACCTTTCTGGCATTTCTTGCATTGTTGCAGGGATAAGTACATCTGTAAGAACCTTCAAAAAGGTAACATAAAATGATATCAAACTTTCACTGGACACTTCATTCTGTTCATTCTTGTCTACTTAGATTGTAAAATGATAAGGACAGGGAATTTATACAGAGTAAAGCCATTCAACCTACAGTCCAGATTTCTTACTGTATTCATCTTTCTCCCATCACTATTAGATAGGTGTATATGAGATGTTTATACAGCTAGATATTTCCCACTCCTAATGTATGCTTTCTTGCAGCATGTTACTGCTTACAGTAGATCTGCCTTACAGTAGAGCAGTCAGTAGAAGTGAGGTGTCTAACCATTTTGACTTTTCAGACATCACTGTTAGTCCCAATATAAAGCAGGTACTCAAGAGTCTCTCAAGTCCTCAAACACTATTAGCTGCCTGACTCTTTCTACTGTCGTACTGCATGTGGCATTGAAGTTCTTCAGAGTTTGACAGATCACTTACAGCTAACTGTGGTATTATGGAACTGTTTTGGCAAAAAAAAAAACAAAAAAAAACCTCTGCCAGCTGACATGTCTTCTGGGGCAGCTTAGTGCAGAAGGCAAAGTTGTTAGATCACCAATATTGTCAAAATATTTTTCCATTAAAAATTCAAATGGTTTGATAATAACACAGCGGAATTCCTCCTTGGATGTGCTAACAAGAATGTCTCAAATAATAATAAGAAAGTAATGGTGAAAAATAGAGAAAAAGGACAATGATAAATTCATGAACTTTTCATAGCTCTTCTTTATCAGATTTCTAATTCAGATCTCCTCTAGTATTTAAGTGTCCATTAGATTAAATATTTATTATCAACAAAGTTAGTATTGGATCTACTGGGCCATCAGATTTAAAGCAGAAAAAGCCTCACAAACACAGTGTACAATATATCCTCTACAAACAAATTAGGCATAATGAGTCATTTCCGGGGTAGTAATTACCATCTTCATTGTTAATTACTTTCTCACTTTATAGTTTGATATGTTTCTAAGAAATACATATTTTCTTCCCCTGGAAATTTCCCCTCATTGTTCATTAAAGAATGACAGATACATAATAATAAGGCACTCAGTGCTGAACAGCCTCAAGTTTCTTCCTTTGACTGCTTGGTGTTCACTGTTACGCCATTAATTATTTCCTCTATACAGTTGCAAAAATGTGTTAAAGAGAGGATGAAAATTATTTCCTAATTAAACAATATACTATTTAATAGGAACTTAAGATACTTCACACTTATTAGTTAATTATTTAATTGTACAAACTAAAAACACAAGAGCTTTGTTAATTTATTTTTACTACGGTCTAGTCTTACTTAATTGTGCCCTTGCAATTCTTAGTTTCACTAGCACAACTATATGTGGGATCATGCTAGGAAAAAGATCTAAGAGCTCATATTGCACAAAAATTCTACAAAAGAATGTTTCTTACTATTTTTTAAAAACCTGAACCAGCTTAGAATGCAGCCAATTAAACAGTTTTGCTGATACATCTAACAGTATGGGAACAGAAAGGAGTGCTAAAAGGCAAGAAAAGTGGGCACATCTTAATTCAGTATTGTTCCTGCTCTGTACCATGAAACATAGCCTCTGAGTAGTGGATCCACAAGTGGAATCACCTTGTTGATAGGTTGAAGACTGTCCTTGCTGGTAGAAACTGCAATAGTATTTTATGTAAAAACATCACTTCAGTTTTCATTCAGGTTTAACTTATTCAGCCTTGTCAGTGAAGCGCACAAGCCTTCTTTTAGCTGAATTCAAAAAGCAGGTAAGGATTTCACAATTAGAGAGCTGCTTGTAGTCATGGCGTTCTTCTCCTTGCTGATTCACATAAACAGATGCAGAAAGCAGGCAATGACATCCTGCTGTTGTAACACTGACACTGTTTTTACATAGACAGAAGCTATAACGTGGCTGAGATTATCCATGCAACTAAATGCCTAACCTACCTTATACAGAATCGAGTCACAAACGCAGAAGATGTCAACAATGATGGGATTCTCAAGCAGGGGAAGAAGATGGTCAGGCATTCCTTGCCAAAAATGTAATAAGAAATGCTGAATCTAAAGGAGTAAGAACCAGAATTATGGACATAAATAATGTTTTCTTAGCTCCCTATGTATATATACCAAGAATGTGTGTTCAAACAATCTTACCTCTTCAAAGTTCCCATTAATTGCATTGTCAAGGACACACTGACAGTGTGTTTTGTACATCATTATAAGAGTATCTACCTATTTTGGAAGAAAGAATAATTAAACAGAGTTTCTTAGCTCTCTCCTGTATTGCAATTGATATCTAGGTTTCTGCTTTCTGTAGCTAGAATTTAAACATGAAATATAAAGTGTATTACAATGCATATTCACAAGTAGGTTCTTTAGAAGCAGTGACATCACAAATCTTTATTTTTTATCAACACCTTCAAGTTTCAATGTTGCTGCTAGAAGTGTAGTATTTGAATCCTTATGCAATGCGAAAATGTGAATATCAAAGTAAGGCAATAGCTAGATTAGTCAGTCAGATGGTAAATTCACCTTTCTGAAAGCTAAGATTAATCCTAAAGAGTAGTGCAAGTTAATCATTAGGCTGCTATAGGCGTCTATGAGTGTTCTGAAACATCATCTAGTTGGACAAATGAGAAAATAGCTGCCAGTCATTTGGTCAAAGTTTAATCACTGCCTTACAGGAACTGAACTTTAAAAAGCAAAACTCCCTTTCATCTCATTGCATTAATTTATCAAAGTGGAGCGTTCCCTTATTTTAAGAACTCCACAAAGTTAATACAAGAGTTTGTAAAAAATTACAGTAAATTTAAAAATTTGTAATAAATTATAAAACAAGAATCTTGTAAAGTATTTTCAGGAAAGAAATATGGACATTAGCAAAAGCAATCTTACTGCACAGAAGCATGGAAAGTTTTACTACAGCTTTTGAAGATCTCCAGCAAACCAAAGTCGGGTTTTGAATGAACTTCTAACAGCTTTTATTCCAATAGGTTGAGAACACAGATTTCTTTGGAAATTGACCTTGCTGACTTTCAGAGCTGCTTCCTTAACTACATATATTTTAAAAAGTGGAGCAAAATACGAGATTCAAGAACAGTATGATAATTTATTGAAGGTTTTGGTGGAAATGTGAAGTTTAGATAATATTTCTTCAGAAACACATAATGAAAAAAATTATCAATCTATTTTAATACTGACTGCTACAGTTGTCCAGCAATTTCCATTGCATACAGTCTCTTAAAAGTTTAATGAAGGAGTCAAACTTCACATATGTACTCTCTTCAACAGAGAATCTAAGGATCATTTAGACATTTTCTCTGCTTCAAAGCTTGGGAAAGTCACTTCTCTTTTGTCCTCTGTTAGAGATGTAAAAATCACTGTATCAATTCTGGATGCATCTTACTTTAGGAGACTGAGTGATGGGATAGTAAGTGGAGGGATAACAGTGTGGACTGCTAGAGAGAGCTCAATAATCCTTGGTCAGATAAGCTAAAAGAGGGGAAAAAATCAGGGCGGAAAGAAAATAGAAAATTAAAAGCAATGAACAAACAAAACAAAAAAAGCAAAAACAAAACAAAACAAAACAAAAAACCTACAACCAAGAACAAGGAATAAAAAAGAGTAACAGGGAAAGAGAGGGCGACACATAAATACATCTCTGTTCCCACAGCCTCTTCATAACTCCAGGAGGCTGTTTGCAGAAGGGATTCCCCCCTAAAGCCCTCTTGGACCCTCCTGTCATCTGGTCCCAATACCAGAGCAGCTACAATGGTGCCAATCCAAGAATGAAGAGAAAATGATTTTCATCTTATAGTTCATTGCTGGAGTGGTAAAATCCAGTTTTGTTTGTGCTGCTGTACTTGGGCCGCAAGGAATCTCAAATGTTCCCCAGATGTAAATGTTACAAGAATGCTGTTTGAGTGATTTCAATTCATGAATGGAGTTTATAGCAGTGGATGAGGTACACTGCTGAGTACCCCAGTTTGTTGACTTTCTTTAGAATCTGTAAGCTTTCCAGCTAACATATGTACTACAGATGAATCTTTCTGTTTAGCTCTTCAAAACAGGAACCCTGGTTTTCACTGCCTACATGGAGCAAATTTAAGAGGAAGGGCTCATTGAACAAAAAGTATTAAAGCAACATATCTCAAGACAACCACCATTATGACCTATTCTGGAGCTTAAAATTCAAGTTCACAATTTGCACCAAAAAGGTATCTGTCTCACTTCAGGGACATAGCAGTCTGTAATGTGAACAGAAATACAATACAGACATCACAGAAGAAAGCAGCCAAAGATATAAAACATACTATAGCAATACTTTGAACTGACCCTTTGGTTAAGCAAGACTGTATACTTACTTCTGGAATACAATTTTACTAACTTCTAAAAAAACCTGTGTACTCTGATTTTCACAGTCTCCTTTCAAATAATTAATGAATGATTGTAAAGTTCATCTAATTATTTGCTGTGAATTATTTGTTCTGATCTAATCAGAACAAAATTTACCTTAAATCCAAAGGCATTTGGAATGAATACAACTCTGTTTGTTTGTTTTGCTCTCCCCGTCTTACATACCATCAGTTTGTAAAATACTAGGTCAGTTAATAGGTAAATAATTCAACCATCTTTCCAGAGGAGAGCCAGTTAATCGGTGTTAGTAAAGGTTTGCCCCCTCTATAAATCAGTCACCTCTGTTTGATTATGGACATTTCTGGTTCTTTCATGTCAATACCTCAAAGGCTAAGATATCAAGAAACATTGTGGCAATTTTTGATCTGTAAATTAGAAGAGAAGTAGCTCATATTTTACCTTGTCTTTGGAAATGCATCCTTGAAGTAAAAGATGTTGGGCACTTGGAAACTCTGGGAGGAGAGTTCCAGTTTTGGAACTCAGAGAATATTTCCGAGTAAAACCACCCTGAAATGTGAGGGAAACACAGTAACATTGAAATATCTAATTCAACTTCAAAGAAACCAACAGTTCATGCTAAACATGTATATTATCTGAAGAGTCTCTCAGCATTCTAGAATTTCTACATTCAGATTAGTCTTCAAAATAATGATGCTTATCCAGACCTGTATTTCAGATCAGAAAGGTAATGAAAGATATGCCTAAATCTAAACTATACCAATTGCAGTTATCAGAACAATGCAACCTTTGGACCACATTATTTCATGGAATTCTGTGAGATTTGAATTTAGTCTATGTTTAAAAACTCTGTAGAATATCATCACTTACTCTCTTCTACAGGATGGATTGTGATATCCCCAGGGTAACACTAAGTTTTATTTAAGATGCATCTTTCCTGTGCAAGGAGTTGGGTACTGGTGGTGCTATGGCTCTCCCCTGTTCTCTTGCTGCTCTGATAGCACCACAAGAGTGGATTCTGCTGCTTTAAATGCAATACCTGACATTTTATGTTATCACAACTTTTGATAATATTTAATAGCATTATGGGTATGACGGTATGTAGGGACACTTCTGAACGATATATTTATTACATAGTTCCAAGTAATTATGACAGAATTGACATGAAACCCCAGAAAATATCTTCCAGTCCTGTTTCCTACTGCACTGAAACATGTGCACACATAAACTCATGTAGGAAAAAAAAAAAAAAAGACAGATTGAGATGTGTATCCTTCTGCATCATGGCACTGATTTTATCTGGCTTCCTCCTAATCTGTTGAAGTGACTGAGAGTTTGGCTGTTCACTTCAGAGAGTCTACATCTGGTTCAGTAAACATTTTCACAGCATTTTGTTTCTGTCTATAAGAACAAAACAAAATTATGCTGGGAAGCACAAGCATAGATTTACACAGTAGAAAAAAATCCTGTAAAGCAGTTCAGTCCTGAAACTCAAACTCAGGAGTCAAAGAATAAGGCTGGAAAGAGGAAATGCAGTTTCAAAGGAACTTATAGAGGAAATGAATATATGATTTTTCTAGGGCTACCTCTTTAACAACAAGGGTGTTCATTAGCATTATGATCTCAGTTTCGTGTCTTAGTAAGGATGATTTCCTTACTGTGGTTTTGTGCTCTCCTGTTTCTTTGTTGATGCATTGTCATCACTGACCTAGAGTCAAGATAAATTTGTCTTGAATTACACTAAATTCTACTGATTTGAGAGTTCCTTGCAGTTCTTAGAATTCTCCAAGTCTCTTCAGCTTTTGAATTCTGAAATATTACAGACACATCTCATAATAGTTGCTCACTGAGAAAAGATCTGGAATGATTATTAGATGTGAGCCTTTGGAGAGATCGGATTTGGATGGACAACAGCCACCTTGTCTGCGTCAGTTCTCAAACTGACCATGAAGCAATATAAAGTAAATCTATCCTCATTTAAATTCCTAACCTTGTACGCTCACAGTCTGGTTTAGTCTGTTTCTCCACAGAGTGAAACAGTCACATCCTGCAGTGATATAATGTTACTATGCCTATATTTATAACATGAACCACAACATGCTTATTAAGCTCTAAAATGATATAAGATGAAACCCTCATCCACAAGAGAAGCAATAGAATCTGTGTTATGGAGCTGTCCTTACTGAATCATGCTTATCCTCAGAGGACTTCACTCACATCTAGGAAAGATTATTTGGCTGAAACTCATTGCTACGTTTTAGTCTACCCAGTCCTTATGTTAAAGCCTGGCAAAGGCTTTGAGCAGACTTTCTGCATACTCCTGTGGTAAATCCATTACTTCCGAGCAGATTCTTTTTGTACTAATGAACGGAATTTTTGGCCATGCCCTAGGTGTTTGAATAGCACTTTAAGCGGCCTTTTCCTACCCCTTTGCATACAGTCAAATTTCACTATAGCGTGAAGGAGAGCAAAAAAATATTCCCTAAAAATGTTGACTCACCAACTGGAAGTCAGATTCAAGTGGAATTATCAGAAACACTGACAAAAATATAGCCGTAGCTAATTTATTCACCATGTATATTACCCCCATTTCTATAGGGTGATATCTCTACCAAAACAGCCAGGAAGTAGAAGTTACATAATGTAAATACACTTTGCTTATGCTACCTACTACCCAACTATATACAAGCTCTAAATCAAAGAAGTTATAGAAATTTTGAAGCATTAATATTTCTTCATGTCAGTACTTTGCCTGTTAGTATCAGGAGCTGCTTGTGTTTTTTTGTCTATTTTTTTAGCTGTTGTGTTCTTTTTTAACAACAGGAGCAATCTCGATTACTTTAAGATGCAGTTACTCAGGAAATATACTAAAAATTCTGATTAGAAGGGATTAGTTCATGTAAAAGAAGGCAATGGTGTTGGTGGGTGACTTAAATAATTTGCAATGTTCTGTACCTTGCTAATGGGCTTATATGACTGTGTCTCAGTTCTAGGATTTATATTTTAACCCACTGCCACTTGCCCTTTCAATTTAATGCCATCTGTTTCTAATGGCCATTTAACATTAAGATAATGACAGTAATATTATCTGCTTAATTAACCATACAGACTCTAATGGTGCACTAACTGGTTTAGATAAAAGAATTTGCTGATATCTCCCCCTGCAGAGAGAATACTAGAAAATGTGATAAAACATGCCAGAAGTAAACAGTGTCTCTGGCACTAAGTAAGTGTTCATTCAAATGCCATTTACTCAGCATATTTAGACAATCAGAGCTTTAACATCTTTTCAATGTCTTTATGTTCCTACTGAGACACCTTATGCAACCATTGTAACTGTTTCTGGAATACCTAATTGCATGTACTTTCAAGCTTATGAATAAGGACACATCGCTATTCACTTTAATAGAAAGTATGTTGCCAACTTTTCAATAACCTAAGATTATTAAAATTCAGTTTTGTCTACAAAACTATGTTTTTCTCTTACAAGCCATCTCAGTAATTTCAGGCAACAGAGCTACAAAATAGAGATCTCATGCTCTTTCCTCACTGATTTCCACTGACTTATTTGTAATTACCTTTCTGAGTGGACCAAGGTATTGAAGGCTTGGGCAGAAAGAGCAGAAACGGGATAGGTTGATGGAAACATGAGTTCCACATCTGAGATGGAACTAAAGCATGTATTCATTTATTCCAAGGGAATCAGAAATTTTTAATTCACAAACTCTGAAAAATGAACGCTATAGTACTGCTGATGAATCCTTGAATATGTTGATATCCCATGGCATAGCACTATCTTCTTTTGATAAAATAGCTGATTATCTGAGCAGGGAAAAATGCTGCAAATCTATGGGAAACTTACTAAAATAATTGATATGGTGTTACCATGGGAAATGATCAGATATGCTGATGAGAGAAGGGATTGGATGAAGAATGTAAAATGTTTAAGAAAGTGGCTTCCGCTAAACAAGTGTTTACAGTGAAACTTCTGAGCAGAAAAGGAAATGAAGTGAAAATTCTCAAAGATCAGATTTGGGACTGATGTCACAGGGTATTTCATAGATTAAACTGGCTGACATGAGCTAATGAAATCATCAGTAAAGAGGAAGACCAAGAGGTCATGTAGAAATATCTGGATGGCTTTCAGATAAGGGCAATAAAGGGGCTGAAAATCAATAGAGTAAAGCTACACTCTCAGGAACCAATAAGAATTTCTGCTATCAGCAAGGAATTGCTTATCTGAAAATGAAAAAAGGAGAAAGACCAGTTCTCTATCAGTTCATCACAGAAACTATATTTAGTCTGGTAAATTAAATGGCATCAAGAAATGACCCCAGACAATATTGAAACTTTATCATTCAGAATGGTTCCTGGCATTTTTTTTCAGTTCATGCCAGATACAACTCTTCTAAACAATTCCCAGCCATGCTTCAACTGTTACTTCATGCTAATGGCAATGAGAAATGACTGTGCTGTTTTTAGAATTAGGAGTTCAGTAGTATGGATGCAGGCTGTGCCATGACAGTTGAACTCAGCATCAAAGAACAATCCTGAGAGCACTCCTTAACCATTAAGATACTAGTGCAATGTTCTTTAATCTTCTAGAACAAATATGGCCAGAATGACAACGACTGTATCAGATGGCACAGTAGTAAAGCTGTAGGTGATTTGTGAAACTGACACATCCCAAACATATATGGTTCTAGGATTCATCAGAAGAGATATTTCCAACAGAAACTGGAGACATGACTTTTGCAAGACTTTGTTTAAAAAAAAAAAATATCTATAGAGATAATAACATTGGAAGAAGTACAGCAAAAGGCTGTAATGTTGACCATAAGTGATTAAAGACTGTTTCTTTGTTACATCTAGTGAGAAAAAGTAGCAAAAAGATGTATTATAATAAAATGTCATAAAGAGTCAAAAAGAGAAAAAGACTATGCTGGTGAAGAGGTATAAAATTCCATTTATCAAAACCTATAATTTCCAATCAGATCAATGAGATTCTGAGAAAGTCTTCCTACAAAAGTAATGGACACAAAAATCTTAGAAGCTAGACCTTGAGCCTCTGTTTAGGAAAGCCTATTACAAACCTCTGCAGCTGCATTAGGTTGGAACACAAATTTGAAATTTCACTTCCAGTCTTACTTTCCAGTATGTATTTAGAGGAGCAAATACTCAGTGACATGAAAAAGGGTTTTGCAGTCTAACCTTTAATTCAAAATACTGCTGAAATTTTGAAAGAAGTGAATAAAGAAAACCACAGGTCACAAATACTATTTTGATTATGATAGGAGTGAAAGGAAACCAACTAAAGCACTTACCTCATTCTTCAACTTGCTTCCAGAGAACCTTTGAAAATAAATGTATTTTATTATTTTTTCATAAGTAAAACATTTTTAATATACATACAGGTATATTCTATCATTCTGTCATATACACATACTTACATACCTGTATCTACATGTAAAATAGGTCGACTAGAAAAATGACTTATGTTTCTCCAAATATAATACTAAAACCCATGCTTTTTTCTAAACTTATTCCATTGGCTTGCAAGTGTTTTACGATATCAAGGAAACTTACTGAAAGTAGCTTTTAAACATGAAGATTCAGACCACGGACCAAAAAGTGATGTATAAAACTCAATTTCAGTTTATTTCTTTGGATCTCTGCAACTTTACAAATATCGGAAGAGCAACGTAATGCAAGTCCATGAGGTTGAGGAAACTCAAATTTTTTTATGCATCTAAGTAAATTCAGAATAGAAACAAAATGTATCTAGAATTTACACTTTCTAGGAAAATTAAGAAAACGTATGATCTCTCACTCTCTTTTACCACAGTACTATTCCGATACAAGCAAAATGCATTTCTGAGATGAAGTATTTTGTAACTATCAAAAATACTTTGCAGTAGGGTGACTGTGCTTTTAATAGTCCATTCCAGAGATTCCTGATGAATTCAATGGACTAAGAGGCAGACATTAGAAAACACACCTTTTAAATTATAGCTACTTCACTAAAGAATGTGTAAGGATAGAGACTCTAAAGGATCAGTATAATGATAAATGTGCAAGATAGCACTGCTTGTTTGATCATTGTTACTTCCTCTTCTGCCAGCTGATAAGATACTGTGGGCAACAAAGTCTTATAATTATTAGCAGCAATGCAGTCATTCCATGTTGTTGAGATGCTATGCTGGCAGGACTCAAAACCAGAGACTGAAAGATTATGAATTCCACCTGCTCAGGCAAGGCACAGTTCCCATCACGTGATGATTCATTACATTACCCACAGAATTCCCTGGTTTGCTAACAGAAGAGCATGAATGAAGGCATAACTCACAGCTGACTACAATGAGTTGCTGATTAGCTTCATAGCTAAATGTTTTTGCTATGGACTGCAGATTTCTACAGAGGTAGTATAATGTACACAGAATGTACAGCAAAAACACTAAGCAGCATCGGCTGAAATTGTTCCTACAGAACCTTAATCACAACCTAAAGCTATGCTTCTTAAAATGCTATCTATATCAACAACTTTAGCATCAGTTACTCTCCTTTTGTGGTACAAAGTGTGATATTTAAATGAACTAGGAGGTCAAATTTACTGTGGAATTAAAGGATTTAAGCATCAACAATCCTACATTTAAAGACCACAGTAGTCAGCTCAGTTACAAAGATATTAACACTCAAATGTCAATTAAATCTGAAATGGAATTGCAGGCCTATATTTAGGCAACTAAACCAAGGCCCCTTCTAATCATTTCACAAGCTGCCATTTACTTAGCATGTGTTGTGGTAAAGACCTACATGTACTTTTACTTGTGTTGGCATAGTGTGATCTGATACCATCATCAAATCATATATTTCCAGTGCCTATTTCTGCTCTGAGATTGATCCAGGAAAAATTTTTTATTGCTCACTTCTAGAACAGTGATTGGGCAAAGGGCAGAGGTTAAAGATGGATCATTACATTTAGCAAGCAGTAACTGGGATATTTACACACTGTTCTGAATCCCCACATTGCCTGAGTTTTCTTCCCTGTAAGTCTGCTATTAACCCCAGACTACTGCGTCACTGTCCTCACACAGCCATATCCAAACACAGTGATAGCCCTGACTATGCAAAGTCAGCATTCAATCTTCTGTTCTAAATCAGCTAGTGACTGCTGAATCCTGAAAATTCAATGATTCCAACATGAGAGCACAAGTCCAGACACAAATAAAAAGTTCCTAGCTAGTGAATGCTAAGCAATCGATAAGCTGAGAGTCCAGTCCCTCTTCTTGTATTTCTTATTCAAGACAGGGATATCTAGAGTTACCTTTGGAAACAAACCACCTTAATTTTAGGAATTTCAAGACACGATTCTTTTGGAGTATTTGGCATAATTCTGATATGTGGAGCACAGGATTTTCAAAAATGCACAGCTATCTCACTCATATGAAAAAATGGACTTCAGAAGTATTAAGTACTTGCAAAAATCTACATATATGATTATGTGAGCAAAGATAGTTGAAAATCCAGCCCTGAGGAATTTTGCAGAATCTTCAATTTGTTAACATTTATGATTATTAGATTGTGTGAGGATAGAGTTTTCAGTGAAAAGGGCATTGACTGACAGAGTTGAGGTTTAAGAATAATGATATTCCTTTATGTGAAAAGGAATTATGTGAAAAGAACTGATTTTTGTCAATTCAACGAACAATTTGTCCAAGATAATGCTAAATTGTGAAAAAAAATAATCTAGCTGTGCACCAGCAACACCTCCACAGCTTTGGACAAACGATGGGTAAGGAAATAGCATATTCCATTCTATTATACCTTGAGGCCTTCAGTAGAGAGAATCCTCCTTTTCAGCATTACTGGTGACATTACCCCCAATTTTTACACTTGTTATGTTGTTTGGAAAAGGCTCTTTGGATATAACCTGAATCTGATAGCAGCTGAATTTTCTGTGTGTGATTATAAGCTCATTTACTCTTTTCCTTTCTCCTAGTTCCCACTTACATGGGCGTTCTGCTGTAGACAATGAAAGCCGTCATTCAAGCCATATGTGAACACAGACATTTGTTTTACGAACTATTAATCTTTGGCAAACCAACAGGCAGCTATCGTAACGTATTGATCCTGCTAGCTGTCCCTTAAATAAATATAATTAGAGCTTCCTGGGTTAGGTTTAAACTGATATTAGCCAGTTAAAGGACCTGTAAATATTAATCTACACTAACCCCTCCTCCCTCCTACCCACAGGTGCCAGCTTCACACCGTACTCCAGACGTTTCATAATGGGAAGCTGTCCTGGGGAAAGAAATCACAGGATGATGCACAAGCAAACAAAATGAGACAAGTATTCCGGAAAATGTGTTTTGCTGTCTTACACTAAAAAATCCTCTTATGGTATATGTTAATGCAGCTCTGTGCTTACTATGATGAGGCCGTACTGGTAGATACGAGTGAAAGATCCAGATCAAGCTGTTAAAACAAAAATCAATGTATCTAAGGAGCAAATTGCTACCTAAATCTTTGAATGCCAGATATTGACAGTTGCAGCAATATTAGTTCTGGTATCAACAGCAATTAGTGTCCTATAAATACCTTCCTTAGGGAAGTTTTAAATAGCACCTCCACTGACTATCTTTCTAAAGCAGGTGCAGAGGCTTTACATCTCAGATATATGCTACTGTACCTGGTTAAGCCTTTGCCAGAGTACACAGAGTGGTAGTATGCACTGCTTTCTTTAATGCCAATTCCATAATAGTGATACCTGTGGGGGGGGAAAAAAAGAGAGAGTATTTTTATTTCTGTATGACATGTCAAATAAAACAAACTGTCAAATTGATCTTCAATGCTATATGAAAACTTTCCTTAACAGTTTCTACTAATTTCTTTCACTGCCATAGAAAAAAAAATCTGGTCTCATAGAAAATAGAATTGTCACTGTCCAAAATTCAAGGCTAACATCTTCTCTAAATTTAAAACATTTTCTCTTTTACAATCATGTTACTTGGAAGAATATATCTACCAGAAACCTGTTATATCTCTTTCTCTTAATATGCATTGTCTTTCATTTTAATTCCAGGTTGTTGCAAAGGTGCTGGCTTGATCCATCGGGTGTAATAATCTATCAGGTATACTACTGTCTTATCTAGAGGATTTCTCCAGTAAAAGTAACTCCCTACTGCTTTTTTCCCCCATAAATTAGTGTTCATCCTTCTGCGATGAGCAATGCTAATACATTATTCATTCATTCATCTCATGGGTTGTAGGCTGACTGACTCCTCTTTAGCTGTTTAAGCAGTTATCATCTCCATCCATCTCCCTCATTGCTCTCCTGGAAATTATTGCCCTCAAAGCAGAACTGGAAGAAGGAAACATTTATTGTATATCCCCTGCTGCTCTGAGCACGACACCTTAACATTAAGAGCTGGTGCTAAGAAATCTGATTATGCATAAGATACTGCTTTCCACTGATTTTGCTGCGGAAGAAGTGACCTTCCTGAGCAGAGTGGGAGAGCAAGATTTGGTCATGGAAAAATTCCATCAGGGGTGATAGGCAACACATTGCACTGATTTCACTAAAACACCTCAAAAACTTCTCAAAAACTTCATTCTTAAGATACAAACATAGAATGGCTTCAGTTGGAAGGGACCTTACAGATCACCTAGTTACAAGCCTGTGCCAATGGGCAGTACTGCCACTCACCAGATCAGGCTGCCCAGGGCTCCATCCAACCCAGCCTAGAACACCTCCAGGGACAGGGCACTCACAACTTCTCAGGGCAGCCTGCACCAGTGCCTCACCACCTTTTGTGTAAAGACTTTCTTCCTAATATCTAACTTAAATCTCCCCTCTTTTAGCTTAAAGCCATTTCCCTTTGCCCTATCACTATCATACTGTGTAAAAATTCTGTCTCCCTCCTGCCTGTAAGCTCCTTTTAAATACTAGAAGGCTGTGATGAGGTCTCCCTGATGCCTTCGCTTTTCCAAGCTAAACAAGCCCAGTTCCTTCAACCTATTTTCATAGGAGAGGTGCTCCAAACACCTAATCATCTTTGTGGCCCTCCTCTGGATCCACTCCAACAGCTTCTCATTCTTCCTGTACTGGGGCCCCCGGCTTGGACACAGTACCAGCAAGTAGTTCATAGAACATATGAAGGTTTTCAGCTCACTTCTGCTATTCCTGATGATGCTCATTTAGAAAAAAATTTACAATTCTACAGTTTGTTTTTACATTGGGTAGCTGTAGATAAGAACAAAAAACTATATATGAAAAAGACATTAGATACAAAATATACTAAGAAAATATTTGTTGGTGATAAGTTTGCTCAGCTTAGGTGGCTCTGAAAGTCTTGGCTGACATAGTTGTTTTTGTTTCCATTGGGTGCATCCAGGATTCCATAGCCAGAAAACTAGAAAAAAGTGGCTGCTGTTAAATATCATGGCTTATATTGTTTGTCTGAAATTGATGAATCTATGTAATACTGGTAGATCACAGTGGCGAGACCCTTAAGAAGGCCAAATGTCTCTCATGTCTCTCATCTATTAATTTACGTTTCTGATTTTCTTTTCCTGAAAAAATATTTGTCTTGGGATAGTGATGTGATGAACACAGCATTATAAAATATCTGTTAATTCTCAGAAGATCAGACACAGGTACATCTGCTTATTACAATTCCCTTTTTACTGAATAAAATCAAAGCTGAGTGACCAAATCAGAGCAACATTTCAAGGTGGTTTAGGATGTCTTACACTAAATGTGACCTTTCATTAAATGTCAAAATGCTGTACAGTTGTCCTCTATTTCAGATACATTAGTGCGTCATCTGTATTGTGAAAATTAAAGTCCTGAAGCTTTTCAGTCATTACTCTTGGTCAAGGGGTATTAAACAGATGGATTTGGGCCAAACGCCTATGTCAGAAAATTCCTAATATTTGAAAGGGTTCTGACAAAAATGCTAAAGGCATGGACTTTTTTCTCTTTCATAAAAATGAAGTTATTTTCGATGAGACTTAGGTAGTTTTGAAAACGTATATGTATGGATCCTGTGAAAGAAAGAACACTGTTTACTTAATCTTGACATCACAAAGTCTGTGCATTGCACAGGATGAAAAACTAAACAGAGCTCTGATTACTTCTTTAGAAATGTTACAGGCACAGTAATATACTTGGCATTGACCATATGAGCAAGCATTTTCTGCATTCTGACATCCCAAACCTCTCAGTTTCAATTACACACCAGTTGAAACTCCCTACTGGTATACCAGAAGCCAAAGAAAACAAAAAATTTTTCATACATTAGGAATTAAGGTCTATATTATTCAATATCTAATTTAGTAATAACAGATTTTTGGGCTAGAAACAGCCACTGTTGTGTGATTTACATTCTCAGATTTGTATGGCTGGAGAAATATTTGTTCCTGTTCTGGAATGCCCCAAGATACCAGAATTTACATTTGTGACATCTTATTAAATGAAGAATAGAAGCTTTCAGCACCTATTCAGCATGTCCTTAGAGCAGAGCAACTATCCTTCTAATTTCCTTTAATGTTTACTAATGAAATAATGCAGCTTTCTAATCATGGCACAGAAGCTATATTAAAAAAAAAAAATTATCTGTGCTTTTCAAGTTGTGCCTGGCATGCTTCACAGAATAATAAGATATAAGGATTTTTATTCTCTTACATCCCAAAGTGATTAGTTGAATATCTTTTTTTTTTTTTTACTCTTTTTTACTTTTTACTTTTTTACAACTATCACTGTTGATAGTAATATACCTACTTCAGACATGCTGATAACATCTTTACCCTACAACTTCAAGTGCCCTCTTTCTGTCTCCTTATACGTGTTCTACTCTTCTATTTCTATCATATAATTCATAAAATGAAATCAGCTGGCATAAGAAACTTACTCTTGATTTTTGTAACAGATCTATTGAAAAACAAACTGAACTGCTTTTCTCTTAATTTCAGTGGCTTATTGTAGCATATGTTCCTATGCAACTAGTAGCCCTGATTTTAGCATACACTGACACAAATGATAGCTGATAAGGAAATGATAGGCTTAAGCTGTTCAGGGACTTGCAATTACTTGTTATCATGGGGCCAGCTGCCATATCAGTTTTATTAACCCACTAAATCACTCCTAATAAATAAGATAATAGTTTTCAGACATGATGGATAAAAGCTAAGATTCAACATTGGTCAAAGTCTACATAGAAATTAAATTGTAACTTGAGCTCAGCAGCCTCCCGTGTGCATTTTCCTGAATAGCTGCTCCACATAACTCATGTACAATGAAGATCACAACTAAATTCTACTAATGGCCATGGTATATTCAACACCGCCTGTGCAAAAAGGAGGCTTCAGAACCTGGTCTACAGACGACCATTGCTTAAGAAATGGTAATCTCAGAGAAGAGTTTGCAACATTTGTTTATTTATGGTGCTGTGCCCTCCTTCAGTCAGCTGGGATATAGAAATTTCCCCTGCTATTCAGCAACCTGGAGTGATCAGCATGGGCATCAGAGATAAAGTGAACACTGCTGACAAAACTAGGTCCAATACGCTGTACTTTTTTGGTCAAATGTTTAAAAGAGTATTTTAGTATTTACATTTGTACATACAGTACAAATACACCATTAGAGTGAGGCACACTCTGACTGAGGACCCAAGTTATTGAATTTATTAGAACCACTTCTAAGGCCCCTCCTGGAACCTCAGACAAAAAAATGTTGCTCAGAGCCTGAAGAGAAACCAACATTTGTCTGTATATCTCACACCTCAGAGCAGCACCCATGCCTCACATCTTAGAACAGCATTTTTTTCTAAAATCCAGTTCATGTCCATGAGTATGGTGTAGAAGAAAATTTCTGTCACCTTGGAGTTCCTGAAATAGATAATTTATTTTCTTTGCTTTCTTCTGGTCATGGACAGGCTCTATCAATGTGTTACTGGGTGTGCATGCAGTATGTGCAGGGCTTTTTATTCTTAGGGAGTTTGCTTTGCTTTGTAATATAATAATGATTCTACTGGAGAGCATTTTCATGCTTTTGGACAACGATTGCTTCCTGGGCAATATCACAGCACAAAACATCATTGTCAAAAATAGCTAGTGCTATTACTGCTTCTCTAATATTATATCTAAATATTAACAGCAGCAACAAAATTAAAAAAAAAAAAAAAAAACAACAAAAAACAAGTCACTTCCACTATCATGCTTAAAATTTAGAATTTAATTGCTAAAGAAGAAAACCCCTGGGGGGAAGAAAAAAAAAAAAAAAAAAAAAAAAAAGAGAGAAAAATACGCCAGATGTTCAAACAAAACCTGCTGATGCCTCATCCTCCTTTGAGGAAATTGCCCAAGAACAGTTAATCCATATGAAAATATAGCACCATAATACCACAGGGCTATTAGATCTGCTGAAGAAATGTTATGTATGAAGCATATCTGTACTAGCACAGTTAAATATCTCAGAGTAAAGAGAATTATAGTGATGCAATTAAGTCTATAGTTAGATTCCCATGTCAAAAACAACATTTGAAACATATCTCTTTACTTAGTGGATGCTTATATACTATGCTTTAATGACACAGATATATTACATGTTTTAGAAGTTTGGATCCTGTTTATGAATTAATTAGATATATCAGATCAAAAACATAATGAGCATCTTTGCAGTATTTTGCCCTTGTATTCTCTCATTCATTAAAACTTGAAAGTATACCTTTAAATATGCTGGCTTGTGAACATGATTAAGACTTAACAGAGGCATTCATGAAACAGAAGGTTACCAAATGTTTCTGCACAGACTATGAATGCCATATCCCTTAAAAATTTAAACACAACAGCAACAGCAAATGTCCATTTGAAAAGCTGACCAAATCTGCAGCAGCTTATGCCTGTAACCATAGCTCAACTTCAGCACAGCAGAAAAATGCATGCATGAAATCCCTCTTATTCCCTATACATGGCTTTTCTAAAAGTATAACTCCCTAAAAACTCTATACAGCATCTATAGATTATTGCTTCTCTACATTCCTTACACCAGTACATTTTCACCTCCTTAAAAGGGAGCATTTCCTACTAAAAGTTAAAAAATCAGCCAGGGAGAAATTCTTCAGTATGTCCTCAGCAGTCTTGGCATGAGAACATAGGTGAGAGAGTGGAGGCAAGGGATGTTGTTACCACTGTTCACCACTGCTTTAGACTCATTTTACCACAACTAGAAACACAGTGCCAGAACCAGAACAAACAAAACATTTCACCAAAGGTAATAATAATACGTAACTGCCTGCAATTTGTTTGCAATTGCAGAATGTTTTACATTCTAACATTCTGCAGCTGAAATGCACAAATCAAATGGATACATCATATATGAAATAACCATGCAACAGGCTGTATACTAATCAGAGCTTTTAAAAATTATCCAGATACATACTTTCTTCTAAATTTAGGACAATGCTTTTTTCTACAGCCTTTAAATTAAGCAGTATTGCTATGGACTGAACAGTTTGAAAGTTGTCAGGTTTACAAAAGGCAAATGAAATCACAGTTAAATTGCACATTATTTATAGAAAGATGAACAGCTGTAATGATGATATGTTATAAAATGTTTTATACACACACATACAAGATTTTGACGTATGTTCTCAACAAGCAAATGGCTCTATAAAAATAACTGTGCTTTGGAAGGTTTATCAGTTTGCTTTTAGAAATTATGCCTGCCGTAAGGTTTTCACTTAAATGCTACTTCAGTTTCATCATGTACATTACAAGTTATCGCTTAGAGCTTTCCATCTGAATAACCCCTCCTACCGATTAGTACTCATTATGAAGGCATGGAAATACATTTGATTTGCAGAACGTATCTGGTAAGCAGATACACAGATTAGAGCTCCTTACTTGGAATGGCCCCTTGTTCCAAGCCGCCTGGTGGTAAGGAGAGGGAATTTCTGGCGAATGGTCTAAAGAGAAAACAACTGTATTAATTTCTAACAGTGACGTACTTTCTCAGGCATTTTTTTCATGGAAGAAACTGGAGGATAAGTACGGATCAATACACAGCCTAATGTAGTCTGTAAATAAGTATTTGTGGCACACACAACACAACATAAGCAATTACGCATGTTGTACACTGCAGAGGTCCTTCCAACCTCATCCATCTCATTGTGTACCTCCAGTCTTCTCAAGTTCTTTGTCTGCTCTTCCTTTCCATTTTCACTTCTACAATGCAAAGACTTCTCCCATGATCCTGCCCCATTCAGATCCCTAAGGTGCAACTGTATCTTTAGCTTCAGAGATCTAAATAGAACCAAGGGAAAGATTTGGCTGCCAGCCGTTCCACTTTCAAAGTCAAACAGCTAGAAATAAGCTGATTTTTTAATTTAAAAAAAAAAATAAATCAAACTTTGATTTAAAACTGATCTCAAGGCTAAGGAAAAAATATTTCCTATTTCTATGCCCTCTACTATCAAAAGGCTGCACAGTCTTAAATGCATTTATGCTCACTGAAACAGTGTGGAAGTTTCTGTTAGGTACATAATGTGATTCAAATAAAATCAAGAAAAACATTCTGTCACTGGACTCCTGAGATTGAGATTACTGCCCTAAAAACATCCTACTCTTCCCATAAAGAATAATGCTTAAGGGAAAAGACTTACTGAGAACAAAACTCAATAATAGAAGTAGAACTAGTAGACATAGCTAATAGATCCCTGTCAAAACAAAGTTTAAATGGAAAGCTGATGTCTTCCTCATTTATGTCGGAACTATGTAATGAAAATTAGATATACACTGAGAAAGTGTATCTTATTCAGGGATGAAAAAATTAGTAAGTGAACATTTTATGAACTGGATTTAAAATCCATTATTATTATTTAATTAAATTAATGCATTTTGCTATCTACAAACAATGAAAAGATCAGCATTTTTGGTTTCCCCTTTCACTAACTACTCAGAGTTTAATTAGGAAAGTTCACATCTCCCTTTCATTAAAATGATTTCAGGATTAATTGTAGGGAAAGGCAGAAAAGGGGATAAATCAACTTTTTTTTTCCCCCCCCATTCAGGAGCTCTTTTCATTATTAACTTTTATTCCCCTTCTTGTATCGCTTGTTGTGTCACTTCTCAGTTTACACTTTAGTATAATTAAAAGCATCTTCTATGTCTTTTTCTTTTTTTTTTAAATGGAAAGAACCACATTAATGTCACCATCAAAAAAAAAAAAAAAAAAAAAAAAAAAAAACACTTGGAGAGAAAATAAAACAAAGAAGAAGCTGAAGTTCTTTTTGATCTTCCTAAAGTGGTTGTCATAAAATCCTCTCATATGTAATCACATAATTAGTTTCATTATGTATATTAACAGCAAAAAAAACCATGAATTTATTAAACATTTTAACACAGGTGCACCAAACTCAAAGTCCGTCAAAGAACTGGCCTAACGAATGATAAAGACATTTGTTCTTTACCTTCCCAAAAGTTGCAGCACAGGCGGGTTCTAGCTTCTCTTTTCTGCAGAAGTCTAAATAATGTGCATAAAGGATGCATCTTGGTAAGCAAACTCCCTCACAGACAATGTAGTTTTCTTCCAGCCTGTACAGAAAAAGAAGAAACTCTTCTTACTGAAGAGTAAGAGGCAACACAGCATGTTTCCCCATTTTATTCCCCTTTCCTTTTTCTGACACTGCCCTCTTTTTAATTTATTTTTTTTTCCACTTCACTAAGATTTCTATGATGGCACATATGTGAGTTTCTACTGAATACGACACACACCAGAAATTGACCACACTTGATGCTTAAGGTAGCAGCACAATACGGAACACCTGGAGGCAGGTCCCTTTTCCTAATGAGCCTTCTTCAATGCAATTTAATTTAAATGATTTTTATTTAAATGACTACCACGTAAGAACCAACCTTGCTCTGAGAAGATGAGCACCAATTACGCAGTGAAAGACCTGGGTTTAAGCCTGACCTTCGAACAGAGCAGGGACTTCATCTTGCATCTTCTGTCCCAATATACATTTAACACCAAATGTTGTCTCTCTCTTTTTTTTTTTCCTACTTTGGATTTTTATTTTCCACATGGGACCTGAAGCTGTTTCTTGTCCAAACCGTAGCAAAAATCAAAGATCTGACATTTTCTGAAGAGTATACATTTTTGTGCATCTGTTTGTAAAATACAAGTGCCCGACAATGGTCGACAAAGTCAAATTTAAAAACAAGTGAAAGCCAGTTGTTTCCTCTTCAGCTGAACTATTGGTAACAACAAGGTGGCCAACTCCTGATTGTTTCTTTTCTTTGTCATCATCAATCATTTGCTACTCCTGGAATCATATGCTATAAATTTGTTTTCTAAACTACACCAATGTATAAGAAAATACCACACAGTAAATACTGCACATGGAATAATTTTGCACATCCTCCCCAGACTCAAATCCTTACAGTTCTCTGTCTGCTCTAAGTCAGATGTAAACTAAAGTAAGAAACTGGGATATCCACATTATTCTTGTTTTTCAGTCATAAAGAAAGCTCTAGATTTACAGCCTGCATTTGGTATCTAAGCTCCCTTTTAATTCAACAGTACTGCTCACTAACTTCCCGAATACTTTAGGAAAGACCTAAAGCCTTAACTTTTAAAGGTTTAAATTCTGTAGGTTAAAGCCTACAGAATTTGAACTCTTTGGTTCATTTTTACTAAACTGAAACAGAGTTAGGGCATCTGTGGGTGGTAGAATGTAATGCAAAAAGTACAGTGAGAGACAGCGAACATGTAACTGTCGTTGCTGTACAGAATAATAACAGTAAGTATAATTCTTCGGTAATTTGTCATTCCTACTTTTTTAAAGACATTTAGGTTTAGTGCATCTGAAAAGAAGACAATGTTATTTTCCTGAAACAAAATAACAGAACTGACTATATGCATGTTAGTAGTGTATCCCTACCCAGTCAGGACGACCAGCTAAATAAGCGCAATTTCATTCTGTATTAGAAGCCTAGATCACACATCCAGGTACAATAGGCTGATCCACAGTGCTTTCTGCCCCGAATAAATCTGATCTTCCATCACCTCTCACAGCCATATGCCGGGGGAACCCAACAGAGGTTTCTGCTAACAGATAAACCTCCACTAATTCAAAACATCGGGAATTTGGGGGAGACGAGGGTTATCAAAAGTTGAAATAAGTCCAAGGAACCCAACGAACGCAGCCAGGGCCAACGAGCGGCGCGGTGCACAGCCCCGAGGCGGAGGAGCGGCCCTTTGGGAGCCCCCCCCGTCCAGCCGGCCCTACCACTGCAGGGTGAGCTGCGTCTGCTTCTTCTTGTCCTTCATCATCTGCGTGATGCTCTTCTTCGGGGACGGGCTCTTGTCCGCGGCTCTCAGTTTGCCGTCGTGAGTATCTGCATCCTCTTCTTCCGAGGAGAGAGTCTCACCGTTAAAAGGCACTTCTGCGCGAGAGGGAGCGGAGAGAGAAGCAGTCCGGGGATGGCGTTAGGTCGGTAGCACACCGTCCCCCCGAGCCTCCCGTTAAACCGGCGCTGCCCAACGGGCCGGGCCCGCCCCCGCGGCTCTCCCCGCGGTCCTCACCCGACTTGATGGCAACGGGCAACTCCGGCAGCCCCCTCCCGGTTCCCAGCCCCTCCTCGGCGTAGGGCAGCAGGCCGCCCGCCAGCAGCTCCGCGTAACACTCCTCCGGCGCGGCGGCGGCAGACATCGCCTGCGTGGCCGGGAGGTGCAGGAAGGCGTCCTCTTGCTCGGGCCCCTTGGCCATGCTGCTCAGCGGCACCTGCCTCGCTTCGCCGCCGCTCCCATGGACGGCCGAACGGGACGAGACGGGACGGACGCGGGGCGGTGCGGGCCGCTTGTGCGGGGCTGCGGTGGCGGGGACGGCCGAGAGGGAGGAGAGGCGAAGCCGGAGACAGGTGTGCCCCGGGAGGCGGCGGGCCCGGTGCGCCCCTCCCTCCTGACGGCAGCTCCCGGGGAGGGTCGGGGCTGGAGGCACGGGGGAGCGGGTCTGCAGGGGCTTAATGATTAACTGCCGGCTGCGTGCGGCAGGAGAGCCTCGGCGTTCTCCTCTCCTTACTTCAGACGTGATGCTACACACAGCTTTGTTCGTATCACCATGCCCGTATATGAGTTCTGTTCTCAGCGTAACTCACAGAGACAGCTCAGCTTCTGTTCTGAGGCTGCAGTAAAATCTCATCCTGTTCTCTGATGTCACTGAACTAAGAACTTCAGAGCTTGACCCATGAAGATCTGTATTTCTACAATATGATAAAACCTCCCAGCTACCAAATTACAATGAATCTCTCATAAGCAAAATCCTGTATGCCACTGTCTTCCTGGTAACATGGAAACATGCCCCTGTACTTGGCATTGGTGAGGCCTCACCTCAAGTACTGTGTTCAGTTTTGGGCACCTCAGTCTTGGTCTCTTCTCACTTGTGACAGGTGACAGATGAGGGGAAATGACCTCAAGTTGTGCCAGGGTAAGTTTAGGTTGGATATTAGGATACACTTCCTTACAGAAAGAGTTGTTAAGCACTGGAATAGGATCTCCAGAGAGGTGGTTGAATCACCATCCCTGGATGTGTTTAAAATCCTTTTGGTTGTGGTGCTCAGGGACACGAGTTAGCAGGGGTTTGTTAGGGTAGTATGGTTAGGTCGTGGTTGGGCTCGATGATCTTTAAGGTCTTTTATAACTTGAGTGATTCTATGATTCTATGGAGCTAAATGTGGTATCCATTGTGTAAGAGCAGGATTCTCCTTCACTATTACTTCAGAATATCTTCCATGACACAAATTCTAGCCATCATTAAGACGTGGATCGCTAGTTTCCACCCCAGCGCAACATACATTTTAGTCACCTCCTGTTGCATCTGAGGGTCAAGAGCTGCTTTATCATAGAATCACAGAACAACTTGGGTTGGAAGGGACTTTAGAGCCCACACAGTTCCAATCCCCTGTCATGAGCAGGGCTCCAGCCTGCTAGATCAGGCTGCCCAGAACCCCATCCAACCTGGCCTTGAACACCTCCAGGGATGAGGCATCTATAGCTTCTCCCTTTGCACTGCCCGTGGACTGTCCTAACCCTGGGACAACTTAGGGTGGCATCCCTGCGACTCTCATTCAGACATCCTTTCAATTACTGAAAGGCTGTGATGAGATCTCCCTGGAGACTTCTATTCTCCATGTTGAGCAAGCCCAGCTTCCTCAAGCTATTTTCACAGGAGAGGTGCTCCAGCCCTCTGATCTTCTTCATGGCTCTCTTCTAGACCCACCCCAACAGCTCTGTATCTTTCCTGCACTGGGTGCCCCACACCTGTACATTCTACTCCAGATATGCCTTCATGGAAGCAGAGTAGAGAGGGACAATCACCTCCCTCACCCTACTGGCCACCCATTTACCTGAAACTGATATTGATTTAAGAACTATTTTGGTACATATAAGTTCTCCTCGGACTTAATAACTTTCTCTGGCTCATACAAACACTCCTCTCTCTATTTGCTCCTCCAAAGCCAGTGAATGACTACTGTACAGCATTACCAGCTTTGTATGAAACTGAGCATATGTTTGCAGCAGTAAAGAAAGAAAAATGGATTGTCCAGTGCTCCTAAGCAAACACATGTTTAAAGATTGATGAGAAAGATGCATCATCCACTGCCAATATGTGAACAAACATATCTATTTTATAGTAAACAGAAAAGAGGAAGTTTTTTTGTAAGTAACAATAAATTACATGTAAATTATTCTTATCTGACAAGGAATATATAGTGTTCCTTAATAAAATTGAATTGTTTTTAAAATATTCTATATGAAAACATTGATAATGAAAATAACTTATAGGAGAGGAAGATTTGTCCAAGCAGGGACAGGTAAATTCTAATGTTCAAGCTGTTTGCTCTTGCAGCCATAAAACAACCAAATCCCTCTGCTTTGTGGAAGAGATTTTACTCCATGTTGCCTACTGTATGAGACGCTGACAGTTGGTTCTGTGTCTGTTTGCAAAGTCACAAGGGTTGCACGGATCAGCAGTAATGGAAGATTTCTTATCACCATGGAAGATTTATTTCCCTTAAAGCTTACCTTCTCAGCAGACATCATGTTGTGATTTGTAGTCAGGGAGTTCTCAGAGTAGTTTTAAATTTGGTGTCTCTGATGCCCGTGTGGTACGTTCTTGGTATTTTAGTGACACCATGGAACTCCTGACATGGCTTGACCAGTCAAAAAGCCCAGGGAGTTGTCACCTTTTATTTTATTTAATTTATTTCAGCTCTCTGCTTTCTTTCAGATCATTCCTGCTTCCATTCAGTTCCTATCACTCTCTTTGCTCCTTCAATTTTCAGTTCCAACAGTGTGTTAAGCTGGAGGCCCCTTGCTTGAAATCTGCCTTCAGTGGCTATTTTGCTATCAATTATGTTTATTTGCCTAACTGCCCCAGAGTCTTTGCCTCACTAAATCATTCTGAAGCACTTATTGCACCACAGGCAAAATATTGGAAGTCCATCTTCTATTTCATGGATCTTAAATGTGAGAAGATGTCACACCTGCTTATTGAAGGCATTAATTTATGGGAACTGAAAAGGTCTCTGGCAATATAACTAGCACAGTGTATACGTACTACTGTTCTTTCTTGAACGAGTTAATTCCTAGTTTTCTGCTGTTTGATGTAATCTCAGAAGCATTCATCCTGATGGAAAGGTCGTATTACATATAAACAAAACATACCGCTTTCATTATCACTAGCATTCTTATCCTGGTGCTCTATGCCAAGGTTGGAAATGTGCTCTAAGGCCTTTTAGCAAACATCTCTCAGCTGCAAAACCAACATATTCACAATGGTTTGCATGATAGAAACAAATTGTCAGAAAGTAGCTCCTGCTTTAAACTGTTGTCTGTCCATAGTGTCTATGTGGGTTAAAGAACAGACTAACCTGGACTAAATGCAGGAACTGCATTTTTGTGGGCTTTTTTGTTTCTTTTTTTTTTTTTTTTTTCAGAGCAATGTGCACAAGTCTGAGCACAGCCGCATCTAACAAATAATGCAGCAGATAGGGATAATATTCCCGTATCTCTGTTGACTACAAATAGATCACAGAATCGTAGAATCATAGAATGGCCTGGGTTGAAAAGGACCACAATGATCATCTAGTTTCAGCCTCCTGCTATGTTCTATTAATGTCTCAGAAAACAAAGAAGCAGTAATTTTAGAGCATGATATTTCACATTTTGCCTAAAAAATTATAGATATGTAAGCTTTAAAAAATTATAGATATGTAATACCATAAGAAAGAAAACCCTTTCCCAAAGGCTGTCAGATATTCGTGTGTTTTAAAACTCCTTTGCTGCCCCAGCTTCAAAGGGGTGGGTATAAAGTTTTGCAGGAAAATGGGAGCACATCTCCCATCCCATAACAGTCAGGAGGTTGGTTTATGCTGTAGAAGTAAGGATGGAGAGCACTGCTTCAGCATTTCCGGACTGTAGAATCAAAAGCACTGTGCATTGCTACACTGGAGATGAGCCCAGGGAGGCTCCAGGTGGTTTGCGTTGGGCTGCAAGATAGTTTTCTTTTTGTCATGATTAGCTCCATATCTGAGCTCTTGATGACTTTATTCTTTGCTTGATGAACAGTAACACCTATTTCTTTCCAGGAATGCTTACAGCACAGTTAAAGCACAGTACAGTGCCTACTAGCATTGACCAGTATTCTACAAGGAAATAAAGTAATTTCTCATTGAAATCAATGTTTATTCTCCTTGCTTTCCCATAGTATGAATCTAATTCTTTCCTAAACTCCATTTCTGATTTCCTGTTATTCATTACATGTAACAGTTTTAATGTCACACATACAAACAAGACCTATTCGCCCTCTTTTATTATTTATTTTTTGTCCTTGACACAGTTTGGTGTTTACTACTTTTGAGAGTGTTTTGTTTTTGACAAAAACAATCTGCACAAACCTAAAAGCCCCTCTAATATTCAGTCCTGTCACTACCAACGCCTTCTGATGGAATGAATCCAGGAGGAAGTCCATTAATCACACCAGTTATTTAGAGAAGCATCTATGTATTAAAAGGCTAAAGCATTGAAGCATCTTCCATAATCTTAACTTCACTGTTTTCAATAATGATCCAAACACTCCCTCTGATAAAAATAATGATGGGTTTACATTGTCACTCATGCAAATTTCTTTGCCCTTGCACAATTATTACTGCTTTTTTTCCCCAAACACTTTCCCAAGGGAAGAAGAACGTATGAACATTCTGATGGTCTGCCTGACTGGTTGTATAAATGCAACAAAATATAACCTTAGAATCACAGAATCATAGAATCATTAAGGTTGGAAAAATCTGCTTAAGACCATCTAGTCCACCCATCATCCCATCCCCACCACACCCACTAAACACTTCCCTCAATGTCATCTACACGTTTCTTGAACACCTTCAGGGTCAGTGACACTATCACCTCCCTGGGCAACCTGTTCCAGTGCTTCATCATTCTTTCTGAGAAATATTTTTTTGTAATATCCAACCTGAACATCACCTGATTCTAAAAAAAAATAATAATAATAAAAAATAATAATAATAAAAAATAATAATAATAAAAAAAATAGCAGTGAGAAAGGAGGAGAAAGCAGAGGAAAAGGAGGAGAAGAGCCATTACAGCTGTAGCACTTCACCATAACGTCAGTCTTCTGATGCAGAGGTGTGTTCACATCTTCCCTTGATGCCACACAGCACCATGGGTTCTCTGGAGCTTAAAGAAAAAAGC